TGTATAGACAATGAAAAATTTAAGACCTAAGTCATCATAATGCACATTACCAGCTGAGGTGGAATGATATTCTTTCTTCTTTTAGCCCTCATACCGTGTTCTTTCTCCAATCTGATTAGTGCTGTGCCTTTTCTCTTTTTTGTATTTTTTTTTTCAACTGGGGATGGAAACTAGGCCTTTCATACTGGACTACAACCCGAGCCCTTTCCATTTTTAAAAATATTGATTGTTAAACAAGATCATACTAACTGACTAAATTGGCCAGGCTGAGCTCAAACTCATGATCCTCCCTTAGCACCCCTCAGCCTCCCACAGAGCCACTACCCCTCTCCCGAGCTCACTTCTGGTTTCTTTTTTTTTTTGTGCTGGGGATCGAACTCAGGTCCTTTCGCTTGTGAGGCAGGTGGCAGAACCACTGAGCTAAATCCCTGGCCCTCATTTCTGTTCTTTTGATGGTGATTTCACTGTTTCACATGGCCTTGGAGCACAGTACTGCAATGTCATTCCTAAATATAAGAGAATGTTGCTCTTTAAACAGAAAAGCTTCAGTCAGGCCAAATTGAAATTAATAATTGTTAATAAGCAACAATATATGTCAAATAAGGTGTCTTTCAATAGAATCTTACATGAAACCAGGTTCTGTATTGATTAGTTGATGAAAATGTGACCAGATGCTCATGGGCACCAAACCCTGTATTTTCCTGAAAAGCTGTGGTTCATTATTTGGTGATTCAGTGTTCATGGCACCTTTATGGAATATAGTAACAGCAAATAATAAGAAATGAGTTCTATCCAGCTGATCCAACCAACAGTCTAGTGAGGTGCCAAAGCTACAGGAACACAACGCTACGGGAACACATGGGAAAGAGCAATTGACGTGGCCTTGGACAGCTGAAGCAGTCATCATGGAGGGGCTGCTGTGAGCCTTATTCTAAAATCATGAGTAGAAACTCCATGAGCACAGCAGAATGAAGGGTCCACTGACATAGAGGGGAACCATGTGCAGAAGGCCGGGGCTCTGAAAGCCCCTGCCACACTGAGCTGAGGGATCAAAACAGCAGTCAAGTCAAAACCCTTAAAGCACACGCACATCTCAGCCCCAGGCAAGGGTTCTCAGCCCCCACAGGTGCTCTCCATGGTTTGGGCAGTGGTTTTCCCAACCAGGAAGTGTGCAGCAGCCAGCTGCCAAATTGGCCTGATATTCATAATCAAGTCTATTATTTCCCTTCTGAAGCCTGGCCTGTATTTCTGCAGAAACCCGGGTTACTTCCGGCTCCTCCCTCGGTGCCTTCGCCTTCCCAGTCACCATGCTGTGCACAGCTTCTTCTTCTCTATGCCCCTCTGCCATGCCCTCTTGTGTTGCAGCCAGCCTCTACAAACTGAGCCAAAATAAACCCTTCCTCCTTTAGGTTGTGTGTGTTGGGTATATTGTCCCAGTGACAAGAAAGTGACTAAGACAACAATTCTTGCTGAAGACCAGGGACCTAGAAAGGCAAAAGGTAAGATTTTTTTTCTTTTACTACAGCAAGCAGAGAACAAGCACTATGATGCCGCAGCACCTAGGACCCTGAGGACTTCCCACCACACCCACATCTACAAAGGCATCTGCTAACCAGCAAGTTTTAAATGAGCACTTACTCTGTGCTGGGAGCAATTCAAAGCAATACAAGTGACACACACAAAAGTACACGTAACATTTTACACAGCTTCTCTTTCCCAGCTGCCAAGCAGTTTACCTGTAGATCAGCCCTCACCTCAGCCTTCTGAAGTAGGTTTTATTACTCACACTTTATGGAAGAGAAAACCAAACCTCCAAAAGATTATTAAGCAACTTTTTGAAGTTCACATAGTTCCTGACTGGCAGAAGCAGGATTTATGTTTAGCTTTGATCCTAAATCTAGACGGGGTCACAGAAAATGTCTCTGGCCCCAGGAAACTTGCATAGGTGATCCATTCCTGACGCTAGCACAGACCGTGAGACATGATGAACAAGAGGAGCCTGTGGCGCGACTGACGGTTCTATAGGAACAGTCACAGGACAGAAGTCTGAGTCCACAGTGCCATGCTGTCCCCCAAGTCATTAGCCTGGGAACAAATGATCCTTGATACCTGCAGGTGGGGGAAGAAGCCATCTCAGGGGTAAGTCCAGGAGCTGAGAAGATCCCCTGCCAGACCAGGCCGCCTGCTGGGAAGGCTAATCTAGTTGCCTGAGGGATTTGGAGGGAACTTTCCAGGATGGGAAGTCTGTGCCCCAGGCCATGCCAAGGATTGTTCTCAGCCAGGGGATCCTTCCTTCCGATGATGTGTTTCAAAGATGAAGGGCAGGACCTGGTCCATGGAGGGCTGGCCACGGGAGTCCTCTGATTACCCTTCCAGTTTTGCCTCCTCCTCCTCCTCCTCCACCCCCTGTCCTGAAAGAAAGACCCTCAGCCTATCATTAGCCTCCTAGGGTCTGCTAGGGTCGGGTGCAGTCTCCTCAGAGGGACCTGGTTTCCACTGCCCGCCTCCCTAGCACAATGCTGCTACAGCAGCCTCTATCTTGTCCTTCTACCAGCAGTGCCTTGTTTTGTTTCCTGCCTTGTTGAAGTCAGACTCAGCCCTCAGGATTTAGTTCAAACACTGTCCTCTTCAGAGCCTGCTTCCAGTTTCTGCTGTCCCTAGGACCACACAACAGATATCTCCATTTAGCCTGTTTCTTATTTTGCTTTGTCATAGCCAAAGCTGGCAGCCTGTCTGTCCTCAAGGCCTGGGACAGATGTCCTTATTCTATCCTTTAGCCAAGTACCTGGCACTTGATTGATGTTCAATCTCTCTTAGAAAATAAATGATTAAAATGAATAATTGATAATTTGAAATAGGAAAAGGTCCAAAGGGGTAGGGGTGGTGGGAGGGGAAGGGGAAAGGGAAGAAGGGAAAGGAAAAATGATGAGAAAAGAAAAAAAATGGAAACAAAATCTATGTAAATAGGGAAGGGTGGAGGGGGTGAAGGGCGCACAGGTATTGGGAGAAAAATAAGAACCAAGATACATCATGTACAGGTACAAGCAACCAATGATAAATGTAAACGAATTGTATACCTAAAATGTACCAATGAAAGAATTAAAAAGAAAAAAAAAACATGCAAAGAGGATGTCCTTGAAACCAGAACAGTTCAGTTTAAGTTTAATTTAATTAAGATAGTAAGGTTCACTTTAGCAAACTTATATTGCAAATGAAAACCACCTGAAATTTAATCTCAACTTACCTGCCCTCTAAATGGCAGTTTAATTTCACTGTAATCTTTATTATAATAACTTCTAAACTAGTTATTAGCGTTACAGATGAAGTTGGAAGACTGCTTCATCTGCTTATTGTGTCTTAGGAAACATTTAATTATTAAATTCCACACTGATAATTAGAAAACCCCACTATTTCGCAGAGGGCTAAGAAATACCATGCAAGTATCCCTCAATTACTGAAACAGAAGCTGTCTCTAAGTGTGTAGTAGTGAAATCCCAAACATCAAATGGTCCCACTCACCAATATAAGCCACATTATTAGAGGCAGTGTACAGTGAAACATCCTGAACTGCTCTGAAATGATACAGTTTTATGTGGATAAGTGTCACCTCTGGCTGATTCATCTTTGTCCTTTGCAAAGCCTGGCCAAGGTCAAGGTGGGCAGAATAAGTAAAAAATTCTGCTGTGTGTGTGGAGGAGTGAGGGCTGCAGTGCACGACAGTAACGAGGCATGGTGAAGCTCAGGGCAGGGAGAATTTTCCAACAGAGCCACACAAAGACAAAGTGTCTTTGCAGGAATTGATAACAGAGTCTGGGCCGGGGGACCCCGAGGGACTCACAGGAAGCAGGGGAAAGTTTCCATGTGCATCTCAAGGCCCCCCTCCCAACAGAGAGACTGCGCTGTACGGACTAGACTGTGGCCCCCTGGCCCTCCGGTGAGTTCTTGCCAAAACCAGACAGAAGCTTGAGGCCGCGAGGCTTGGGCAGCCCAGGTGCCCTGGGGGACACACCGGTGCTCAGGAAGGGGCCACAGCTGACCCCGCTCTCCTGATGCTTCCTGAGCTCTGCCCCTTAAGCTCCCAGTCCACGCACCCCGGGCAGTGGAAGCCTTGGCACACAGCTGGGCACACTGGGGAGATTGAACCTAAATTGCCTGCTTCCCTGATTGACTGGTAAAGGCAGCAGCCAGCTGGGGTCCGCAAGGCCTCCCCCACGCACCCCCCGCAGGAGCTCTGACTCACAACCTGTTGGGCACAGCCTGGGCCTCTCTGGTTTCCCGAATCTCCCCGTCTAAAGTAGAAGCCTCCCAACAGATGTTTGAAAACAATGGTCCTGACGGCAGTGCTGTTATCTGCCACTTTCTCTTTACACCTTAGAGTATTTTAAGTGTTTGTGCAGACTCATTCTTTAAGGTAATTACACTTTCTGGACTGAGAGTTTAGGAAGACCTTGCAGTGATCCCACCAGTAACCGCGGCCCCAAAGGCAGGGAATCCTTTAGCAGGAGGACAGGGAAGGCCTGAGGCAGGCTGAGCTCAGAATCCGAAGTCACTGAGAGGGCTGCGCTGGCTTGGGGTGGTGGGTGAGTGCACGGCTCTGGCTGGAGGGTGGCTGTCCTGCGCCCCCGCGGGCCCTGGGTGGGGATCAGTGAGCGTGCAGAATTCACGCGGGGCTGAGGAAGCACAGGGCTGGCGCAGGCTTCCTCGTTCAGGGCGGGCCAAGCGGCTCAGGGTGACCGCGGGGCAGGGATTCCCGGGAGCGGAGCGTCGGCCCCAGCGCCGGAGCGCCACCAGCAGAAACAGGCGTGCGGAGGGGTCTGGGGCGAAAGTGGGAACCGCTCGGGTGGGGTCCGGGCCGGGCTGGGACGGGGCGGGGCGGGAGGCGGGTCCCTGGGGGCGTGGCTCCAGGCGGGATTGGAGGCGGTGAGGGCTCCAGGCCGTGGTCAGGCGGGCTGGGGCGGGGCGGGGCCGGGGCGGGGAAGGGCGGGGCCTGGGCGGGGCTCCGCGTCTCGCGGCTGCAGCACCGGGAAAGGCGTCCTCGAGGCGGTGGCGGAGCGGGTGGCCGACCAAGGCGGCTGAGGCGGCGGCGGTGACTGGTGAGTGGCGCAGGCGGCCGGGGCGCGGCCGGGGCCGGGTCGGGCCGAGAGGCGGAGGCGCCGGGCCTGGGGGGCGCGGGGGAGCCCTGGGCCCCTGCCATTCCTGTCGCTCGCGGCGACCTGCAGCCTTGGGGTGGGGAGGCGGCGGGCGAACGCCGAGGACCCGACCCGGAGCGCGGTCCGCAGCCCGGCCGGGGTGTGCCGTGTGCCATCTCCCGGCTCCGGAAGGGCTTCTTGCTCCAGAGCACCCCTCAGCCACTCCCTCCTCACCCAGGCACGGCTGGCTGCGGAGCCTTCCTGCCCCAGACCCCATTGCGTGCCCCTCCCCGCCCCTGCCAGACCGCTCCCTCCCCAGGTCCCTGCAGCCCAGAGGCAGCGCAGAGCCCTCCCTGCCTGCACCCGGGGTCTCGCTGCCACCTGCCGCAGGACCCTACCTCCCACCACCTTCCCCGCTCGCTGCCCGAGGGCAGCCCCAGCCTGGCCAAAGACCGATGATCCTGAGCTTAGGAGACAATTTGACCCACTTCCCAGGAAGCTGGTCTCACGCTCGCTGCGCTTGCTGGTGGAGACACCTGGCTTGTCTGCCCCCTGAAGGACTGAGGACGCCTCTGTCAGAATGGCCCAGCAGGTCCCTGGTTCCTCCGGGCTGCTCAGACTTGCTAGCTGGTGTCCTCAGAGACCAGGGCCCGGGGCTTTGGTACTTAAGGCCTTCAAAGCCATTTGCCCACGCGCCCGCAGCTCCCTAGAATTCTGCCCAGGCACTGTTGGAGTTACCTGGTCCAGGACCAGGGCCCTGCTTTTCCAGGTCTGGGCCTGGCCTCCTCTTCCCTGTTCTTGTTTTCCTGCCTTGTCCGAGGGGACTCAGGGGAGGGTTATTGGCTGCAGTTTGGGGCTCTGGGAGCCCCCACAGTTCGGAGGCCCCCTCCTTTCCGTGTTAGAAACTTCACCTGCTGTTATCAGTCACCCTCTCCCCTGGACAGGCCTGAGCCACCGGCATTGCCAGGAGTTCCCAGGGCACAGAAAGCCGGTTCGGGGCCCTGCAGGGCAGCAAGAGGAGGGTGCCCGCAGCAGGTCTGGTCTGGAGGGCTGGGCTGGGGCGGGGGGGGGGGGGTCACGCTGGGAGCTCCAGCAGGGTTCCAAGGCTTCTTTGCAGTAGAGAGGAGGCAGAGGGGGCTGTTTTTCCTGCATGTTTTGGTCTTGCGTTGCTATGGTGACAGTTTTGCCTCTCTTCCTCCCTCGGCCTCTTCTGGGAGCTGGTTTTTATTGGTCTGCTCTCCTGTCTTTTATGACTCTAATTTCTCCTTTTGAGTTCCTCTGAAATCAACAGTCATAAATATGGGGGCTGGGCCCAGGCTGGGGTGGCAGAACTTCACCGCCTGCTGTCTCTGGGCCCCTGCGAGGGGAGAGATGGTACCGTAGGGGTCAGATGTGCCTGCACTCCCTCCTCTCAGTTCTGGGACTGGGGCAGCAGCATCCCCGCTGGGCGCACAACGGGGAGCACACTGCTTGGTGCTAATAATAGCTGTCAAATGCCAACAAGGGCTCACTGATGTGCCTTCCTTTCTTCTTCACTGTAGTGCCATGGGGAGGGGCTGTCCCCACTTTGCAGATGAGGAAACTTCACTCCCAGCAAAGGCGCTTTTCTTCTGAGGTCACACTGGTGTTAGCACACACTCAGCAAGGAGCAAAGGGAAACTGACACAGCTGGTGTATGGCTCTCCTGGCTCCCACCCTATTGGCTACCTCCTCCTGTTCCCAGAGGGACCTCCACCCCTACGTATGTGCTTTTGGGGGCTCACTGGCAGTGTCCTCAGTTTCCCTCCCCTTGGGTGAGCTGTTGGAGATAAGCTGTCAGAGAGCTAGCTGCTTCTCATGCCCTTCTTCTCCCCTTGACCCCAACTTTAGGGACCCTAGTTGAGAACAGTGTGAAGCCACTTGTGACTTCCTGTTTTACTCAGAAACCTAAACTTCAGCTTGCTGGTCCTCCCTGGGGCATAGATGTAACTGGAAGAGGCAGGGACACAGCCAGCCCAGGGTGAGGAGCTCTGTGCTCCAGGGCCACAAGGTCACCCAGTGTCCACTGTCAGTGCCACGGTCCAGTGGAGCCACCTCACTGTCGTTTTTCTCTCTGTGGAGCTGTTGCCTTTCCCACCCCCTTCCCTTCTCCCAGTCACACCGCTGTGCCCGGGGCTTGTTAACCATGAGCTCCAAGGGCGCAATGGCAGCCTGAAAAGGCAATGGAATCAGCAGCCTTGTCCCAGTGCCCACCGTGAGGGAGTCAGTCAGTTCACTCACTTGTCTTTAAAGTGCAATTGGCAGCATATGACCTGTAGGCTGTGCTTGCTGGTTCTATTGGGACAAGTGGAACAGCCCACAGAGAGAGCTTTGGAGGTTAAAGAGTGATTATGGGAGAGCTCAGTGGTGCAGAGATCCCTGTGTAGAGACTGAGACCTGATTAGAATAATACCGTGGAACCTCAGGATGTAGAGGGATTCTCTAAAGCTATCTCGTCCAGCCTTGGTGTGAGTCCAGGCCTTCATTTACGTAGCCCTTCATTTGTGGGGCTTCTACTCCATGTGTGCCAAATGCAGCTTGGGCAACTGGTGATTAGGAATGAGCACTATTTGGCTTCAAAAACCAGAGTCTGGTGTAAAAGGTAAACCTGGAAAGAGATCTTTGTGGTAGAGACATGGTGGAATGGGGGAGGGGGACCTGGGCCCAGAGATGGCCACTTGGCCTGGTCACCCCTTAGGGCTTAGTTGGGGGCCTCTGCTCGGGGGCTGAAGTCCCGCTGGCCTAACATGGGCCAGTCCCACCTGTTTGGCTGTTTTTTTAAAAAAATGTATTAGTATGTGTTTGTGATCCATAATAAATATATGCAATGTGGGGTATTGGCACATGTGCATGCAGCATCTTGATCCTTTTTACTTCCCTCCCCTCTCTCCTGTCCTCCCCAGCACCCTTTGCTGAGTTTTGACCTGTCCCTCATGGTAGTGGCTGGTTCCTACCTTGTGTTGGTTCAGATCCTTTCTCTGGAGTTGAGTCCATTTCCTTACAAGATGACATAGTGATTGGAAAGAAGGAGGCTGTGGAATCAGAAATGAGGGTTTCAAACTCGACTACTGCTGCAACCGGATGGCATATCTTGCCTCTTCGAGGCTCAATTCTGTGTCTGTAAAACTGCAGTTATACTTATCTACTATAAATTAAATCGGCTTGTATATTTATAGGGCATGGCATGGTGCCCACCCCACAGCAGACGTGCTGTTGCCTAGCTATATTGATTAGGAAAGACTTCACAGTGACTGGGCCTCTGGGTCCTCTTAGGACTGTGGTAGAGAACTCTTTGGATGAATTCTTGCCTTTGGAAATCTATTCACTATCTGTTGAGGTTAAAAATCACTCATGTGCAGGCTCCTATTTATTGCTAAAGATCATTGCTAGTTAATCTTCAAGTTATCTCTCACCAGATAAGCTGAGCTCTGGCCCACCATGACAATGTGTGAATCCCCAACACTTTTGTTTCCTCAAGGGAGAATAAATTTGAAATGGTGGCAATCATCCTCATCATCACTGAAACTGTGACTTTAATATCATTGTCCCCATGTTACAGTTAAGGAAGCTGGAAGAAGGTAAAGGCCCTTGCACAGTGTCTGGCAGCCGGTGAGTGGCAAAGATAGAATTTAAAACTAGATCCTGCTTGCTCTTTGTGCCATGGTACACCAATCTTGTCATTTCCTTGGCTGGTAGGGAGTGACCTAAAATATTTGTGTTTGGAGAATGCAAGCAGAGTTTAATAGGGGCAGAACTGGTCAGTGGTGTAATTCAGACTCACAGTAAATATTTAGAGACTTTATCAGGGTTTTTCTCTCAGCCGAGCATTAACGAGGCTTTCTGCATGTGGCTGAGGTTTGTTTTTGTCAGTGATGAGTAGAAGAAGAGTCTGACAAGTTGTAGTTAAGAGAAAATACTTGACAATGCAAGGAGTGGTTTCCCGAGCACAAGAGTGGATGGCCAGTTTGTCATTGAGGTGATCTGAGCTTTCGGACAGGCTAAGATTTTATCACTGATCTTGTGAATGGAAAGCCATGGCAGGTGCATCTCTGGGATATGGCGATGAGAGATGCAGTGAGACTACAACACGTGGGTGAATGGTTCCTCAAATGCAAGGGTGAAATGCAGTGAGTTTCTCAAGACAGCTCATATCTGGGAAGATGGAAGTGCAGTCAAACCTTAATTTGCGAGCATAACTCATTCCAGAAACACCCTTGTAATCCAAAGAACTTGTGCATCAAAGTGAACTTTTCTGTAAGAAATAATGGGAATTCAGATGATTCATTCCACAGTCCAAAAATGTTTATATAAAATGATTATAATACTGTAACATAGTACACAATAATAAAGGACATACAAAATATAGAGAAAAATAAACACATTAGCCTGCACTTACCTTTGAAAACCTTCCTGGCTGGTGTTGGGGAGATGAGAGAGAGAGAGTTTACTTTGTGGGATGCTTTTCACTGTCACTAATAGAATCACTGCTGTCTATTGGCTCACTGGAATCTTTTTCTTTTCCTGCAACTTTAACAAAGAGCCTGTCCATGACAGTTGCTTTTGTCCCCTTTTGAGGATTTCACAGAAATGTGACACTGCATTGTTGTTAAACAGATTTTTCTCTCACACTGCTACCCCCATATTCAGGTGGTGCTTTTCCACAGAACTTTCCACTCTTATGTTCCACATTTCCCTAATCTCCTTTGAAGGGAGGGATCCCTAGGCCTTTTTCTCCTCCTCCTCTGCAGAAGAGATCACCTCCATAGCCTCTTGCTGTTGGGAGATGATCACCTATAATTCCAAAGAGAGAGAGAGAAGAACCCTTGTCTTAGTTGTGATCATGTGATGTTTGGGATCACATACTACTCATATTGTAAGACATAGCTTGTTTATCAAGTGAAAATGAGAAATGTTTGCTCATCTTGCAGAACAAGTTACTTGCAATC